CCAAATATAGACTTTTTTCTCAAATTAGGTTCCATTCTTTCAGATTATTTAAAAATATATGAAAATCTAAATAGAATTTGTAAAAGTTATGTGTGGCAAAATTTTAAAAGAGGCAACTTAATCATAGCTTTTAGTTAGCAACTTAAGCTCTACATGTCTACTTGGACTTCTCTCAAAGGAGAGAAATCAAGCTAGAGTGTTTTTCATGTGTAATACAGAGTCATTCTTTCTAGTTTTTGTGTTATGTGACTGGCACTAAAGAAGTTATGAGAGCAAGTATGATTCTGTTGAATTCGTACAGCTAAGAGTCAATCCTGTAAGCCATGGGATCTGCCTGTGTCTGTGAACGAAGAAACGGATGTTTCTAAGTCAGTGTAAAACATTGGACTTTCTAAGCTGTAACAGAAAATGGGCCTCCTGGTCAAGAATCAGAATGAAAGTTTCCAATTACATTCTAAATTCATTTAATGTAAACTTTCTCAAAGCTCACCGCTACTGTTGCTCAGGCTCAGTTTGAAATGAGCATGATCAGGGTGCATTATGATAAAGGCTGATGAAAACCAGCAGTAAAAGGGGTCTTGAATTCTATAGCCCTTTAATTCCTGAACCCCCAACTTTATCGAACTCTTATTTTCCATTCCACTTTACACTGCCTAAACACACACACACACACACAGAGAGAGAGTCTTCAAGTCTTATATTTTATGATATCACTTCCTAACATCAATTACATGACATGCAACCCACTTTTAACTTTAGTAAGCTCATTCAAGTAGATGGTTCCTAGTTCCAGCTCTTGAGAGGCAGGACTAATCAGGAAGTACTTGCTGGATCCAGCAAAAAAAAAAAAAAAAATTCTTATTGCTTCAATCATTCATTTGCTTATGTAAAAACAAAACAAAGCACAATACATGTTTTTTACCTGTTATGTGCCTAGTAATGTGTGGCAACTTGTTATGTTATAGTCATAAACAAAACAGACTAAGGCAAACACATAAAGTTAGATTTTTCATAATGCAACATAGTAGAATTACATCCTTCATGTGAATGTATGCACGTGTACCAATTTTAGAATTGGTCTTTTATGATTACAATTAGTCTTGAAAATTGATTGTCAGCAAATGCTCATGTTGGGGAAAGACATGATATTTTTCTCTAAGTCTAGAACAGTTGGTATTCTCTGTAGCATTGGGACAGTTAACTATATATTTAGTTTAGCATCCCATGAAGTAGGTGAATTACATGCAATGCTTTGTTGTACAAAATGTATACCTTTGAACATTAAAATTACTCAGTATGGGGACTTTTTATATTCTGAGACAGAAATTTGCATCTTCCTTTGTTAGTGGGAGGGCTGGTGGAACTACCTAAGGCTGTTTAAAGTCTCTTGACATAGAATTGAATTAACCTATTTCAAATATTAATATAGAGATGTGTGCAGGGTATTACGATTGCTATTAGAAGTAGTGTTATAGTATTTTTCTACATTTTCATATCTATCTGTCATCTCTTCCTAAGGAAAGAATTGTGAGTTAAATAGAGAAGGGAATCTTAGCTCTTATTTTATAAATGAAGAAACTGACGCTCAGAGATGTTTTCGGCTTCTTCCATTATACATTTTACAAATTGTAGAGCTAAGACTGGGACTTGTTTTTTTTTATTCTAAATCTATCAGGGTATTTATTATTATTATTATTAGATAAAATTTAACATGCTTTTGAAAGTCTCTGAAATATGAATAATGGCTTTATTAATAAAAATGTCTCAGAATACAAATAATAGCAAAGTATCAAATAATGATAATATCCAGAAAGTACTCTATAAAACTGGCTTTCTATTCTGTTCCTTTGATATGAGTGTCTGTTTTTGTGCCAGTACCATGCTATTTTGATTACTATAGCCTTGTAGTATAGTTTGAAATCAGGGAGCTTGCTATCTCTAACTTCTTTTTTTCTTCTCAAGATTGCTTTGGCCCTTGGGGTCTTTTGTGGTTCCATATAAATTTTTTGGTTTATTTGTTTTAGTTTTGTGAAAAAGACTATTGGTATTTTGATAGAAATAGCATTGAATCTGTAGATTGCTTCACGTAGTATAGTCATCCTAACAATTTTAATTATTTCAATCTATGAACATGGTATATCATTCCAATTATTTGCATCTGCTCCTGTGGCTCAAAAAAATAAATAATGTCCTATATCTTTCATATTTCATATGCTACATTTCTATTGACTAATTTAGTTATTTTATTTTATTTATTTTTTATTAGTTTCAAGCATACAGTACATTGGTTAGACATTTATGTAGTTTATAAAATGATCCCCCTAATTGCTCCTTCTTTCCTCTGGTTTTCCACCTAGCCAATATATTAATGCTAACTGTATTCCCTATGATGTGCTCCCCATCCCCGTGACCATCTATCAACTACTAATTTATACTTTTTTAACCCTTCTCCCCATTCTCCCAGACCCCGAAATGCCAGTCCCCTCTATCATGAAATTGTCCTCTATATCTGTGAGTCAAATTTTTTTTAATAGCTACATTGGTTAACTAAATTCAATAAGTTTCAGCTGTACACTTTAACAGTAAGGCATATATATGTTTAAATATACATTGTGTGTTCATTTCTCATAGTTAGATTTCCTTCTGTCATCACGTATTTGACCAGTTTTACCTCATCTGCCTCCCCCGTCCTTCACCCTCTACCATACTTATATAGCCCTTACTATATGTCACACATCACATTATTTTATTTACTTCTCACGACTTATGTATGTGGTAGGTACCATCATTATCTTCCTTTTACAAGTGAGAAAGGGGTGGAACAGGGAGCTATACTAACATGCATGATTACAGAAAAGAAAAAGAAGGTAAGCTCTCATATTTGAACCCAGGCTATCTGGTCGCAAAATCCCTGCCCTTTATTACTTTGCTACTGTGGCAATTTTATAAAGCACAAAAGAAAAATTAAGCAATATATTTCCATGGCTTAAACACATGAAAAATAAAACTATTAAAAATATTAGGATATTTTCCTTCATGAATCGTACACTTGAAACCTATATAATTTTATTAACCAATGCCACCCCAGTAAATTTAATAAATTTAATAAATAAAACAAACAGAAATCCATAACACTTTCCTAAAGGAGAGAAAGAATACATAAGGATATTTTAAACACAAAATTTTGTGTAGTGGTGATCACCTCTGGACAGAGCAGAAGAATAAGAGAAGATAAAAGAACACAACGTTTATTAGTATTTGTTAAGATTTTAGTTCTTTAAATTGATTTGTTTCAAAGGTTTTATTTCATTACTATATTTATAACTTATGTTTATCTTATGTATAGGCATTTAAAATGTCTAATATTAAAAAGTAATAATAAAACAGGTTTACACTTAGACAAATATTGCTAAATGTGAGCCAACAGTAAACATTCTTCGTCTTACATAACTGTAAGAAAGAGATCAATGTTCTCAGCATTTAAATAAGCAATTCATAAAATAAGCAATTATTTAAGATAAAAATAGAAATGACTAATACATGAAAAACATTCAATCTTAGTAGTAACAAAAAATATAAATTAAAACAACACCGAGATACCATTTTATTCTATCGAATAGACAAAGATCTGAAAAATAATTTCATCCAGTGTTGGCTGAGATTATAACAAAAGCCATTCTTTTACACTAGTTGTAGGAAAAAAAATATAATTTATTAGGATGACACTTGCATTTTTAAAAATCTAAGCACATCATTTCCTCTGACACAGCAATTGAACATCAGCAGTCTCTTCCAAGGAGATGACCAGAGATGCACACAGAGAGTCACTTACCAGACGTAGTAATAAATATGTAATAAATATCACAATGTAGTAATAAATATGTAAGGGAGAAAGATTTAGTGGGGTGATCACCTTGTGAGTTATATAGATCTAATCACTATGATGTATAACTGAATCTAATATATTATTATAGGCTAACTATAATTGAAAAAAAAAACCCATCGAATTGTACAATGTAAATACAAGCAATTAATTGTCTATTACATTTCCATAAAGCTGGGGTTGGGGGGAGTTCAGGGTTTATAGCCAATATCAACATTCATCTTAGGCATGCTCAAAAATACCTCTTCCTTTCAAGTAAGAGCTGTTCAGTAGGATTTGGGGGTCTCATAAGTAAGGAGATAGTAGTTCACCACTAGGGTTCAGAATGGTTGAGTTCTGAGAAGATTTTCATTGTGAACTTTACAGCTAGCTGGCCCCTGAGTTATGAAAAATTGTACTTTATTAGTGATTTTACTAGTAAACTCTTAGGCCTCCCTCATCCCCACCCAGGAGAGTTATACCGATGCAAGATGGGTGGATCTCCCCAAGTAGGTACTCAAGTCTTACATCAAGAAAGGGAGGGTCCTTGACTCCATGCAGGAAAGAATTCAAGCATATACCAGAGCTAGAGACAAAAGCAAAGTTTATTAAAGAGAACGAATGACGCTCCATAGACAGAGTGTGGTCTCCTCTCAGAGACGGAAAATGAGAGAATCCCCGAGTGTTTTAGGAATTCAGTTTATATGTGTTTTCCTTTCAAGGTATGGGTATACGGTGTTAAAGGCATATTAGTAACATCAACCTTTGTTCTGTAGGCTCCCTGTGGTCTTGCCATAGAGAGAGAATGTTTGGTTTTATATTGTGCAGGGTACAGCTTAAAGACTTTATTTTCCTGTTTTCCTTTCATAGACATATAGTATTAATGGTGTGGGTAAACAGTTGTTAGTAATCTCTGCAGGAATCTTTCTTTGTTCTGTAGGTTCCTCAAGGTCTGGTCGAAGGGCTGCTCAGCACTTTGTGGGCTCTGAATACGACCTGGTTTACTATTTAGCCAATTAGTGCAGTCCCCATGCCTCTTCCCTCTATCAGTATGAGTAATTCTGCATCTTGCAGTGCTGTCTACTGCTAGAGACATTTTTATTAGTAGAATGATGATATATGCCTTACACCCAACCCCATGTCCATCGCCATTCCAACTGGAAATAAGAAGCCATTGTCAGCACCCCAGGTATCATTTTCTTCTTTTTTGAAGATGCTGTGGGGGATGCCTATAGGCCTTAGAGTGTAAGAAAACTGGGGAAATTAAAAGAGTAATTAGAATCTTTATGAATTATTTTTCTTCTGTTTAACTATTAGCGAATGGCTCTTGGCTGATAGAAATCTTCATCATACAGGGGCTTTGGTTTCACGCCAAATTCAGGTGGTGGTTTCTCAACCAAGGAAGGAACACTTTTTGTGATAGAAATTCTGGGACCAACTTGCAGGACAAAGTTTCTTTACAGCGATGAAATCAGAAATGAGAGCTATGATTCAGTCTCTGTTCCTCTTCGTCTCCCTCATGCAGATCTGGTTTTGTTTGAAAAGAGAATGAAGATCCATTTTAATATAATTCTTATTTTCTATTTCCACAGAAATCTCTAAGGTAAAATGGTCACAAGAAATCATTTCATAGCAGCTATGTTTGTCTTAGTGAGTTTAACACAGCAGCCAGAGCTCCAGCTGCCTCTCTCACTTCTCTTCCTGGGAATCTATATGGTGACAGTAATGGATAACTAGGGCTTGATCCTCCTGATTGCAGTCAGCCCTCTGCTGCACACCCTCATGAACTGTGTCCTCAGCAGCTTTTCCTTCATCAGTCTCTGCTACTCCTCTGTAATTGCCCCCCAAATCCTGGTGATTTTCATAGGGAAGAAGAATGTGGTTCTTTATATTAAATGTATGGCACAATTTATTATTTTTTTCTTCATAGTCTTTGTAGTGGTTTAGTGTTACCTCCTGACTACAATGGCATACAATCACTACACTGCCATCCGCATCCCGCTGCTATATAATGTGATCATGTCCTCTCAGTCTGCTCAGTGCTCATGCTAGTTGCCTTTATCTTGGGCTTTCTTTCTGCCTTGTCCATACAAGTGCTGTGATGAAACTGTCCTGCAAATCCCGCATCATCAGCCATTACTTCTGTGATGTCATTTCCCTCCTCAATCTCTCCTGTTCCAATACTCACCTCAATGAACTTCTGCTTTTTTTTTTTTTATTAGTTTCAAGTATACAGTACATTGTGGTTAAAATTTTATATAGTTTATAAAATGATCCTACTAATTGCTTTTTCTCTTCTCTGGCTTTCTACCTAGCCATTACATTAATGCTAACTGCATTCCCTATGCGGTGCTTCCCATTCCCATGACCATCTATCACCCCTTTCTCCCAGCCCCTTCACATCCCTACCCAGCTTTGGATTTTTATCATTGTGGGATTTAACACCTTGATGCCCACTCTTGCTGTCTTCGTTTTTTATGACTTCATCCTCTACAGCATTCTTCACATCCAATTCTCAGAAGGCTGGTCCAAAGCTTTTGAAACTGGCAACTTTCATCTCATGGCTGTGTGGATCTTATTTGGATCTATCACATTCATGTATTTCAAGCCCCCTTCTGTAACTCCCTGGAACAAGAGAAGGTGTCCTCAGGGTTTGACGCTACAGCGATTCCCATGCTGAATCCTTTAATATATAGTCTGAAAAACAAGGTTTTAAAGAAAGCATTGAGGAAGGTTTCAGTGAAGAAATGACTGTTACTTTTGGAAATTTGTGGACTAGAGAAATGAATGGTTTCAATGAAAATATGTTCTTCATTTTTCTTTGTTATTCTGTTATAATATATATAATCTGGATTTAAAGACTACATCCTCATTTATAATTGATTAATTGTTTCAATTTTCTGAATGAAATGAAAAGGCTTTTAGTAAAGCAAGTATTAGTGTTCTTATTTAAAAAAAAAAAACTGAGGTTTAGGTATTTCTATTTTTTCTAACTTACTGTGATAGAAGTGAAATGAAAATATATATTTCCTCCAACATTAGTCTTCTCTTCTTATTATCCGTGTTTGTTTATCAGATACCTGCTTTGTAGAAAGCACCGAGTTGCCCATTGATAGGAATGTTAAGAGATATGTGACTCCATCCCAGATCTCCATTAATCCTTGAGAGAAATGACACATATATACAAGGTGGGGGTGGGAGGGGGAGAAGAAATAATAATAATAATAAAAAGTTGTAGAACAAGAATAGCAATTCTAGTCAGTAGGTCTTTCTTACCCAAAAAAGTAAGTCTTACCTTTTTTTCTATTCAGCGTATTCAAAATCTCCTCATTTCTATTCTCTTTGTTGACTTCTTATTTTAATATCATGGTTCTGCATTAAGGGAATCTCTGAACAGGCATTTTCAGGGCTGTGTCACAGTTGAGATTTCTACTGCCTGTTGTAATGAAGTTTATGAAATTTGCAATTAGGAAAGGTATAGCCTCCACATTTGTTTCAGCTGGAGATTACTGTCATCAAATTCCTGAATTGAGGCTGTAGTTGATGTTTCTAAGCATGTGATCTTATGGTATAAGTACCATGTACTCTGTAGACATCCCAAATCTCCTGTAACATTTCTTCTGCTTTTGTTTGTTTGTTTGGGGGATGTAATGAAATATACCTTTACTGTTTTGCATCCTTTCTCTTCCTCCAAGAAATCTTCTCTTAAATTTCTAGAATTTTAACTTCCATCTCAAGTTGCTTCTCTTCATTCAATGTTATACGTTAAATTAGCAGTGTTTGTTGAAATTAGTTGTTTTTCTCCCTTTACTTATTTTTTGTCTGTTTGTTTGTTTTGTAAAAATATTCTTTATATTTTATATTGGGAAATTATTTTAATTGAGAAATATGAAATCAGTAGGTCCAGGTCTGCCAAAATCCCACTGTTCTAACAAAGCTTATCTATCTTTAGCCCCCTCCTTCTGATAATCCCACCAACAATACATCTTCCCACCAGTTTGTTTAACCAAGTTCTGGACTTTTATCATGACCTGGCCCGTCAGTCCTTTAATATATCTTTTCTTCTCCATGCCTTGCTATATATATTTCTTTAATGATTTTTCAGGGTCAACATAATGTTTCTATCTTCTCAAGCTTTCCCATTCCTTAAGTTTTTTTCAGTCTTTATACATAAATAGCATGTGCTATTTATTTACTCTTTGTCAGTGGCTTTAATATTGAAATAAATAGTTTCCTGGATCTAGGATCCTGGCCTTCAAATTATCATTTGTTATCACATAGATTTGTAATCCGTCTTCTCCCTCTCTCTCTTTTATTACAGTTTAATTAACTTGTTTTACTTTATTTTTTTCTGCCACTCCTATTAAAATTATAAAACTGAAACAATCCTTCTAAATCACTTGATTCCCAAAGCAAACTAAATTTCTATAAACAGAAGATTTCAAGTTCAGATAGTTAAGCTACTTTCTACAGGTTTGCAATAATTTAATTAAGTTGTTTCCTTTCTCAATAAAATTAGATACAATATTTTTATGGTAACTCCCCCCAACTCAATCTTATTGGTTCATTAGTGAACTCTACCTATTTAAAGAGAAGCTCCAGATTAAAAAATGGAACTCTGAAGCCAGATCCAGAGACAAGTTGAGCTCACTTTGTGCATGCTAACTCTTGAACCTGTGCACAAATCACAAGAATTCAAAGTTAGACTTTCCACAGTTCTATGTCTAGATCAGAAAGGCAGATTAAAGCAACATAAAAAGTGACAATTTAGAGCAGCCTAACCATCCTGACATACTAATCTTGAAACTATTTCTTGAAGACATGGCTGAAAAATAGAGTGAAAACAACAAATGATTGTTCTACCTCTTATTGTCTAAAACACCTTTATATGAAAAGGTTCTCTATTCCCTATAATCAAATCATTGCCTACTTGAGAAAGCTTTCTCTATATGTCCAAATTTAAGCTGCAGGAATATTTGCTCATGCAGTTTCCAAAGATGGCTCAATTTACCCAAACTACATTTGCTGAGGGCCATAGGATGCATTGCTTTGTGGAAGTTCACTTAGCTCAAATTTTTCAAGGAACTTAGCCTCTACTGAATTATTCACCTTTGCTTAAGGCCCAGAAAAAGCAGTATGGCTTCTGGAGAAATAAATGTCCACCCAACTAAAATTATTCATTCATCTGTGTATTGCACCTGTGGAAGTTAAAATTCCACATTCTCAGAGGTTTAAATTCATAGCTGCCTTGGAATTTCATTAGTTAAAAGTACACATAAATTAAAACTATAAAAATGTTGCAAAATAAATGTCACTTCATGCCACTGAGGTCGAAATCTTTTTTTCTCATTTAAAGCCCAGATTTCTTAGGTGCATTTTTGCTCCTAAATCTACTGCTGGTAACTTCTTCATAACCTTGGTCCAATGCACAAGGTGTTAGTTGGGTGAAGAAGTGTTTATAAAGATATATTTTGGGACAAGTGAACTTCTTAATATCAAGCTCTAGAATTGAGCAAAATTGCCACTCTAATTACATGAAATGCTGGATTCCTGCAGGTATCTACCAGTAGAAGCAAGACTACATGGAAAGGAACAACTGAGAATATATTCTTTATGAAAATATTCTAACTCCCAAAAACTAAATAAAAAAGAAGGTGAGAGTCTCTCCTTTGAAACTCATCAATAAGAGACATCATTCCACCTTCCCAAGAAAACTGACAGGGTATAGAGCAGGGCTAGAGTGTTAGAATAATAAATGTTCCTCCACATGAAAGGAAAAATCAAGAATGAGGGAAAGATGTTTCATTCCCCTTCATGTACTCATAAAATTTAGAAAAAAAGAGAGTCTTATCAATTCAGAAAAAAATAATTGCAAGGCTATGCTATATAAAAGTAGACTCAAGAAGTATAGAAGTTTCAAAATTAAAATTATAATTGAGAAATTCTAAGTAAGTCTTATAAAAAGTGGCACAAGACCTTCCTTATGCTTAAAAGCATTCATTAGTAAATTTATTAGGATGATTCTGCTTTCTCCAGAGGAGAATGTCAGAATCAATGAAGAAAAGCAAAAATATTTTAGCTCGCTAAAATAAAAATATGTAAAATTCCTCATAAGTTAGTACAAAGAGATTAATACCCCATAGAAAGTAGCCAAAAATCATTTATTGAACAAATATAAAAATAATATATATATGCAAATTAAACTTGTTCAATTTTATTAGAAAATAATAATAGAGTGAAAATTCAAATAAAACAATAGTGATATGCTTATTTACACATCTGTGTTTATTTTTGTAAAACAGTTTGATAATATATATTAAATGTATTGTGTTGTGAATTCTATATTAACTTTTACAAAGTTATTTAATTTTATGCATGTATACTTAAGTAAAAAAATGATGTTGGAGAGCTACAGTAATATTTATTGTAGTACTATTGACAACTGCAAAAACAAATTGAATTATATGTTCCTCAAAGATATAAGTTTAAATAAAATGTGATACCAATATACAATAGAATAAAGAACAGTCATTAAAATAATTTTGTAAAATAATATTTAGTGATGGGGACTATATTCAAGGTATAAAGAATTTAAAAGGTATGCATAGCAAATCACACAACACACAACTCACTAAGATAAAAAAGATCCCTAGTGCATTAAGTGATATTCTTGTTTTTCATTTACCAGGTGTAATAATCATATAGTATAGAAATGAATGAAAATAATATTATGGTGATGATTTAAAAATTATTTTTATGTGTGTCTTTATTGAGTGCAGGGAGATTAAAGGAGTCTAATCTTCTGCTCCAAGCATTTTTCAAGACATTCCTTCATTGCATCTCAATGAATTTTTACATATCTGTAAAACATACTAAGAATATAGCTCTTTAATTTTTAATTATGTTTATACTTGTAAGTGAGTATCCAGATAAGGATATATATAGAGAACGTTAGCATCTTCCCAGAAGGCTTTCTCATGCTCCTTCCTGGTCAATATCCACCTCACAGAGGTAGCACTGGTACAATTGC